GGGGCGGGGAGGGCAGCGCCGTGAGGCCTCCTCTCCCTTTCTGTTTGTAAAAAAACCTGCCTGCGGTCACCGCACACACGAAAATCACGGTTTCTGTAACCAAACCCCGGCGCAGCCCCGCGGGTTGGCTGGAGAAAAGGCCCTTGGCGGTCACCTCCAGGCCCCTGGGCGAGGTGCTGACTTGCTGCCGCTGTTTGCGTTGTGGGTGCTGTCGCTCGGTGCTGACCAAACGAGAGACGTGCCTTGTCTGAAGTTTTCAGATCACGAGGACCGGCTGTCTGGAAGCGAGAGGGAGGAGGATGAGGACGATGTTGAGGCTGCCCTGAAGAAGGAGGTCGGCCAGATCCGCGCCTCGACAGAGCAGAAGCTGCGGCGGGTAGAGAGCGGCGCCAACAACGTGGTCTTCATCAGAACCCGGGGCATAGGTGGGATGTCGAACGATGCTGTGTAATGCTGTGGGGATAAAGTGCTCTGAACAGTGTTAGTAACAGGCCACAGAATGTGACTTCCAAGAAACTCGTGTATACCAAACAAATACAGGGTTTCCCCTTCCCTTTGGCATTGCTACTGAATTTTGTCATTACCGGAGTCGCTAAAGGTAGAGGAATCTGCTTTGACAAAATAATCTGTGATAACCAGTTTTGGTATAGTAAACCAACTCTAAACAGAAAAGGATTTGAGGTTGACAGCAGTGCAGCGAAGCGTGCATTTCCGCAGCTTATTATATAGAGGGGGGAAGAAGGAAGAAAATGCCTTCAATTTGTTTCTCATACCTGGCTGTTTTTCTTGTAGAACCTGAGAACCTGGTGCACCATATATTAAAGGATATGCATGCCACTAAAAAGAAGAAGACAAGAGTCATTCTGCGCATGCTGCCCATTTCTGGAACTTGCAAGGCTTTTATGGAGGATATGAAAAAATACACGGAAACGTTTTTTGAGCCTTGGTTTAAAGCCCCTAATAAGGGTACTTTTCAGATTGTTTACAAAGCTCGTAATAACAGTCATATGAGTAGAGAAGAAGTAATTAAGGAATTGGCAGGTATGTATGGATTTCACACAGAACTAAGAGCAAGTATATAAGCAGCCCAGACCTGCATGCATAACATAGGTCAGATTATTAAAAGTGATCTTAATGGGCATACATATTTGTTGCTTAAAATCTGTATGTTGAATTACAAAAGCTTCTCTAAGACTTAAAAAAGCTTGACATCAATATTCCTTGGTGTTGATGTCTTCAGAGACAACAAGCAGAAGAGAGTACAGCATTGAATATAATTTGGAGTGTCAGTTATATGTGCTTTGAAATGACTGCTATCAGGCTTTCTCTCTGGATGCTATACTGAAATAATGTGTTACTATTTCCATTGAATGTATGACTCAGAAAATAGCTCCACCTTACTTGAGGATTTTGTTTCTTGGTGGGATAGTTTTTCAGTTGCCTCAGTCCTACTGGTGGTATATTCTAAGAGTCCTGCTGTGTTCTGCTGTTTTAAGCAATTATAAAAACAAGTAATTGGTTACAACTAAGGGGGATGTTGCCTTCTCTCTCTGAACTTTTATCCTTTTAATAGGGCATGCTTATGCTCTGAAACAGTTTTTCCAGCATCTTTTAAATTACATCTTGTTTTACAGGAATTGTGGGCAGCCTCAATCCAGAAAACAAAGTCGATCTTAATAACCCACAATATACAATTGTGGTGGAAATAATAAAAAACGTCTGTTGTTTGAGTGTGGTGAGAGACTATGTTCTGTTCAGAAAATACAATCTACAGGAGGTGGTGAAGAGCAACAAAGACAACACACAACAAAACCCATCAAGTCTGACAGAAGACCAGAACTCGAAGGTAGTAAAACCGGAAACCGAGAAGGAGGAGGAGAAGAGCTCAAAAGAAGTAAAACAAGAGAACAAGAATCAAGGTGAAATAGAAGCTGAACCCAAGGGGAATGATGCAGTGACAGTGTAGAAAATGTGGTAGAAGGCAAAGATAAACATAAAACCTATTAAAAAAAATTGCCCTAGAGTTCTGAAAGGGCATTTTGAAGAGGAGAGTGGGTTTTGCTTTGAAATCTTGTTTTTAAAATCCACGTGTAAGAATTTTAATGCTCGTTGCAGGTGGAGCTGACATTACAGCAGATGTAAGAGTGCGTCACCTTTCTGGTGAAGCTTGCTGTCATTCTTCTACTTTGTTCTGCATTGCCTTTACCTAGCACAAAAAGCACAGTGTGAGTGCATGCATATGTAAATGTGGCCATCCTGACACATACTGACTCTCCTTTGTTATATCTGATAGCTACAGAAATCAAAAGGCAGTGCAGAATCAGCTCTATCAGGAAGTATTGACAGAAGTGAGAGATCTGAAAAAGACAATTGCTTGCAGAGGGTTTTTAAGGAAGCGATCTGACAACTTGTGTGGCTGCAGAACTTGGATGCAAAAAAATGATAAAATCCTGATAATTTCCTGTGTGATGGAGGGTTATATATATATACACATGCATTGCTCTACAAGGATATGCTAAGTCTTGAAGGTGAATGGGAAGAACTGCTATGATCAAAATACTTGAATACTGTGAGACGATTTAGAGTAATAGTTTTGACTGTTCTAGAACAGTAGAAGTACAGTGCAGGCATTGCAGATGGTTTAGCAAAAACTACCTGTGTGTTTACATTAGCTGTGTATACAGCAGTTACTGGTTTATAGGAAATGCTATAGTCACTGAACAGAATGCTTTTGAGTAATTTCCTGAAAATAGCCTTTTGCTGCTCTTTCCAAATCCTTGGGGGGTTTTATAAAGTCTTTTTTTGTTTTTTGGGGTTTTTTTTTTTTTTCTTCGATCTCAAAATTTGAATTTAAATACTGCTTGGAAACTTCTTATGAAGGAAGCTCTCCATTACCATACTGGATAAGGGGAATTAAGTTTAATTTTTGGTACAGTTTTAGCTTTACAGTATGAATTTTGTTTCAGATGGAAAGTAATGTTAGTGAGTCTTTCTGTTGTCCATTTGTCACAGCAGCTTTTTTGATATTCCAGTGACTTTTAAAAAACAACCAAAACCAGTGCAGCTATAACCTGCTTTCCAGTAGGGTTTTTGAGTATGCTTCCTGTACAACTGTCTAGCTTTAGTATTTAATTTCTAGCATAAAAGGCTGTGGGTTGCTAATGGGAAAAGACTCATCTTGAAGAACACCACTGTTACTTGTCTTGGTTTAGTGAAAAGGATGTGTTCAAGTCTCTCAACAGTGTTTAATTTATATTTTCCTCTTCTCTCAAAATTGTTTCAGAAGTTGGAAAATTAAGACGACTTTATTCCCTAGTCCTGTCTCCCTTACCACCCATTTATTAAAACTTGGCTTTCTTACCTCCATCGGTGTTTTCTTTAAATTTTAAAGCTTTTTGTGTGTGGATTAAAACCAGCAATGTCTAGGTCACACATAGGAACGAACCATTTGAGAGCAGACAAAAAGGCCAACAGTGAATGTTTATTGGTGGCGTGAATGTTTATTGGTGGCGTGAATGTTTATTGGTGGCTGATGTTAGTGATCACGATTAAAGACAGCCTACTTATATTACTAAGGACAGAGATAGACTCACAGATAGTTTGTGCGTTTGGGGTTTTTTTTTTGTTTTGTTTTGGGTTTCCCCCCCCCCCTTCTCTCTCTGACTCATCTGTGTGTCTACAGGACCTACAGGTCTTCAGAAGAAACTGCTGGATAGCTACCATTCATTTGTCAAGCCTATGTCTGACATTTAGATGCTGCCTATGCTGCAGTCTTAAAGATGTCCACATTCTTCTGATTTTTCTTAATTTGCACTTCCTGAACATTCATTGTTAATGCACTAATTCCTTAGTCTAGAGGCTTTCAAGATTCATACAAGCAGGGTGGTTAATTTGGATGCATGCAAGATCTATGGCCATTTCTGGGAACTTCATTACATACTATCATGATTTCTTCATTAATAAGCCTGTTGTGAGTTTAAATATCTGGTCTTAAAGAATGAATACACTGCTCCTTCACCTGGTAATCACTCACTTCTACTTGTGCCATAATTCTGAAAAGCATTAGGTGGCCAGAAGATATATTTGCATATGCCTTGCTAAGTAGGCGTGATTTTTGTTAAGCGAGAACACAAGCATTTAATAACCATACAGTTGGAGTTTTTAAACCTTGTGTATTATTACACAATCACTGCCTAACGGGTGAAATATAATCTTATGTTGGTGCTTACATTTGTAATAGAAAAAGCTCCATTGTGAATGAAATTGAGAGGGATAGGCTTTTTTAGATTGCTTATCAAAACTAAATCTGTCCCCACTCCTTGTTCCTCAGTTCATTCCATCTGATTTTCCCAGTGATCGTCTTTGGCAGCTGCTGGACAAATTCAATCTGATTCAAAACAGGAAAAAAGTAAAACGAGCAGATTTCATTTAGAAATCTTTTTCAGAACAGCATAGGTCTCCATCCTACTTAATTTAAATAGGAATTTGGTGACTGGGGAAATAACTCCAATTTGGTTTTAGATCATGTTGTATCCAAATCATCTTTAAAATAGTGTTTGTCATTTTTCTTGCACAGTACATATTTGGGCTTTTTTTGTTACTGAGTTTGAACTGAGTCTAATCTTTCTGTTTCTAGCCTCTCCATGGTTAAAATATGTGTTTGAGATTTTTCTTTTTTTTTAATACACTCATGTTTACTTGCCTTTCTGGGGTATTTGTATGGAGCAGTGACTTTCTTGACATGGTCTTGCAATTCACAGGCCAGTTTCCTTGCATCTTGTGACTTAAAGGAAGGAGACAAGACACAAAAGCTTTTACCACCTACAAAGGGAAAATAAATTAAAAATACAGCATTAATTAAACTCCCGCAACCTAACAAATGAGGCAGTTAATTGACCACAAGTGAGTATTGCCTGCAGTACAGGCTTGCTGTATCACAGCTGCACTGTAGAGCAAAATTTGCTTTTGTGTAAGCAAATTTAAAATGAGGATGAAAGCTTGTGCCATCACTTCTGAGCTGAGTGGTTCCCCTCCGGTCAAACAGTGCTTCAGTGTCTTGAATGTATACCTTCAGAGACAGAGGACATTGCTGAGTATCAGGGAATAGAAAGGGACAAATTCTGGTCTCCCTGACATCCGTATATCCAACCCCGTGACTTCAGGACACACGGGACTTAAGGTTGGGGTTGAGAGAAAGCCGAGAGCTCCAGTTGGAGTGGGGCTGGAAAGGGGCTGCCAAAGCGGTGAGCTACGAAGATGCACAGGACTGATGCAGCCACACGTGTGCCTTCACGGGCTGAATACCAGCCTCTGTATTTACTGCCTGTAATGCCTCAGGGCAAAATTTTGCTTTGGGTTGGAGGTGCCTGAGGGGTGGATTTTGTCACTTGTCTCTGCAGTGCTAAGGAAAGGGCTCTGCCTTCTCACAGCCCCTGCCTCCAACACAGAATTTCCACTACTCTGAGAGTTTAAGTGGCTATAAGGGCCATAGAAATCATTGTTAAAGAGCCAGGCAATAGCTTGAACAGACACGGCATGGTCACTTGTAACAGATACGCAATACCTGGTGAGGTCATGCTGCACCAACATGCAGTAGGCAGTTGGGGTGCTGCACAGAGCGGTCACTGGATATCTGCACAAGGTCTGACAAAAAAAAAAAGAGGGTTAAACAATGTTTTTGGGGAAAAAACTTGCTGCTAACTATTCCTTTCTATTCTGTACTAGGGCAGAAATTACAAGACCTGATTGTAACCTCACTTACATGGAAAGCAAAGTAATTGCCGTCACTGTCAGTGTTCAGGAAAGATGTTACAGTGCCCAAACATCAGCTGAAGAGGTGATACACTGACTGTGGTAAATCACTGGTGTACCTAATCTGTCCTGTTGCTCACTTGAAGCACAAGGACCATCCCTTGGTATGAAACCCTGGCCCTGGAGGTGCAACGAGGTTTTGTAGGGGACTTCAGTAAAGCCCACATCTCACCCTAGGAGAAAGTCAGGCACCTCAAAATGGAGGCATCTAAAATTAGAGGTTTCTTTTGAACATTTTGCCTGTGTCAGCGTTTTATCTGGCCCCACACTTTCTGAAATGGACTATTGCAAAGCTTTACACATGCTACAATTCCCTCAGCTGTCCTGACAAAGGGCCTGACATGCGCAGAGCCAAGTCTCCATGAGCTGTGGCTGAGTTGAGTATTGAAGTTGTTTTGGGCTGCCAAATTTATGTATCTTCCTTTAGCTGGAACAGAACACAGGACATGCGTGCCTTGCTAGAAAAATAAAGATCTCAGCTGAACCTCCGTTTTCTGACACATCTTTATTTCTCACCTGTAACACCAGCAGATGATTCACAGTCACTCAGGTAGACCTAAGCCTTACTTTTTTTCTTTTTTTTTAAACTTGACTCCTGCCTGCAATGAAAATTTGCTCAGAGAGGGGGACAAGTAGCGATAAATAAAAGCAAGGGGAAGACCTCTCATTCACCAGCCTTCACTTCAGCCACACCGTGGGTAAAGCAGCCTCTACTATCAAACTTCATTTTTGTGCAGAGATGTGAAACCCCATGCACATTGCAAGCAGGTGTTTGCAAGGCCAAGAAATTTATACAAAAAAGAAAACCAAACTAGCAACCACCATTTTAGAAAGGAAATGAAACAGGATTAAAATCTCCAAATAACCCCCCACATGTTAGGAATGTACGCTTTTGATGTAGGTGCTTTGAGCCATTTGGGAACAGCACTTTTCCCTTTGTGTTAGATTAAAATGCAGATTGGCTTGAGAAACTTGAAAAATATTTTCTTTTAAGAACAAGCCAATCTCACGGCGTCAGTGTTTTCCAGTACTGACTTGCCTTTCTTAAGGGTCACAGCAGCATAGTTAAAAATATTAATTTACATGTAATTCAGCTCATATATAATTTCAATAGTGAAATACAGTAAGGGAGAAGTTTAAGTAATACCAGTAACT